CTCAATGTTAGGAAAGCTCTCTTTATTTCTAGGTTGGATTTGAGACTTGATTCCTGATTTTTAAAATGTTAAATAGTCTTGGGGAATGAGTTGTCTCTTGATACAATACGCTATAGCTGTAGCACCCTGCACATTGAAGTCCTACAGTTCAGATCTCCTTTGTAATCATCACAGATCAGCCTTTCCCAATTCACAAGACTCCCAAGGGTGTTAGGAATATGAATAGAATAGAATATTTTATTGGCCAAGTGTGATTGGACCCACAAGGAATTTGTCTTGGTGTATACAGGTGAAACTCGAAAAATTAGAATATCGTGCAAAAGTTCATTTATTTCAGTAATGCAACTTAAAAGGTGAACCTAATATATGAGATAGACTCATTACATGCAAAGCAAGATAGTTCAAGCCGTGATTTGTCATAATTGCGATGATTATGGCTTACAGCTCATGAAAACCCCAAATCCACAATCTCAGAAAATTAGAATATTACATGTAATCAACAAAACAAGGATTGTACATAGAGCAATATCGGACCTCTGAAAAGTATAAGCATGCATATGTACTTAGTACTTGGTTTGGGCCCCTTTTGTAGCAATTACTGCCTCAGTGCAGCGGGGAATGGAAGCTATCAGCCTGTGGCACTGCTGAGGAGTTATGGAAGATCAGGATGCTTCAATAGCAGCCTTCAGCTCTTCTGCATTGTTCGGTCTCATGTCTCTCATCTTTCTCTTGGCAATGCCCCATAGATTCTCTATGGGGTTCAGGTCAGGCGAATTTGCTGGCCAATCAAGTACAGTAATCCCATAGTCATTGAACTAGGTTTTGGTGCTTTTGGCAGTGTGGGCAGGTGCCAAGTCCTGCTGGAAAATGAAGTCAGCATCCCCATAAAGCTTGTCTGTGGAAGGAAGCATGAAGTGCTCCAAAATCTCCTGGTAGGTGGCTGCGCTGACCCTGGACTTAATGAAGCACGGTGGACCAACACCAGCATATGACATGGCTCCCCAAATCAACACAGACTGTGGAAACTTCACATTGAACTTCAAGCATCTTGCAGTGTGTGCCTCTCCATTCTTCCTCCAGACTCTGGGTCCTTGGTTTCCAAATGAGATGCAAAAGTTGCTCCCATCAGAAAAGAGGACTTTGGAGCACTGAGCAACAGACCAGTTCTGTTTTTCTTTAGCCCAGATAAGATGCTTCTGATGCTTGTTTGTTGTTCAGGAGTGGCTTGACAAGAGGAATACGACATTTGAAGCCCATTCCAGGATCCGTCTGTGGGTGGTGGCTCTTGATGCACTGACTCCAGCCTCGGTCCACTCCTTGTGAAAGTCTCCAACACTTTTGAATGGCCTTTTCCTGAGAATCCTCTCCAGACTGCGGTCATCCCTGCTGCTTGTGCACCTTTTTCTTCCACACTTTTCCCTTCCACATAACTTTCTATTAATGTGCTTTGATACAGCACTTTGGGAACATCCAACTTCTTTTGCAATTACCTTTTGAGGTTGTCCCTCCCTATGCAGGGTATCAATGGTGGTTTTCTGCACAACTGTCAGGTCAGCAGTCTTTCCCATGATTGTGATTCCTACTGAACCAGACTGAGAGACCATTTAAAGGCTCAGGAACCCTTTGCAGGTGTTATGGCTTAATTTGCTGATTAGAGTGGGACACTTTGAGCCTAGAATATTGAACCTTTTCACAATATTCTAATTTTCTGAGATTGTGGATTTGGGATTTTCATGAGCTGTAAGCCATAATCATCACAATTATGACAAATCATGGCTTGAACTATCTTGCTTTTCATGTAATGAGTCTATCTCTTATATTAGTTTCACCTTTTAAGTTGCATTACTGAAATAAATGAACTTTTGCACGATAGTCTAATTTTTTGAGTTTCACCTGTATACAACTCCCATGCTTTCCCAGTCAATTCAATCCTCATTTGGTGTGGAGTTTAGAGGTTATTGTCCAGCTATGCTAGAGAGGTGCAAGTTGGAAAAATTTCTGGAGTGGCATTTAATGGTCATATGGGATAACAAAGGATTCAGTTACTGTTCCAGCCAAGGGTTCCTTAGTCAAATTTACTTATCCCCTTATTTATAAGAAAACTGAAGAACAGAAGCAAGCAAATCCCATGGCAGGTGTCACTACTCATGAAGAATGGAGGGGAAAGGAAGAACCAAACCAATTCTGTTTCCTTTCTGCTTGAGCAAGGTTTTCTGGACCTCACCAGCAGTGAATCGAGGTACAGCCTCCATGAGAACATGAGGAAAATCAAAGCTCCCACCCAGATCATTTGGGGAAAGGAGGACAAGGTAAGGGGTTTATGTATGTCTGGGGTTTTGTGCGCACTGTGTATTACAATGAGGCAAGGAAGCCCTAACAACAATGGACATTATTGTATTATTAGAGAATTTTACGTGGCCTGAATTCAAGACTCAATGTCCACCTTTTTTTATACTGGAATGTGATGTCCACCAATGAAGAAAGGGAAGTGCACACCTTCCTTGGTAGCCGAAATGAACCATTTTCATTAGTGTAAGGGTTTTGCATGGTTTGTTGAGGGTTACGCACCAAAAGAGGCAGGATGAGGATTTATTTGGGAGACTTCAGTGCTTTTGAGTGTCAAAGGAGCCTATTAGGGCTTAAAGTACTTATTTTGCTCCTTTATTCCCTTCCCCAAAATTCAGACACAAAGAGACCTTGTTCTCCTCACTGACTGGGTTGTGTGAAGGTAATTTGAATTTACAAATTAAATGAAAATAAAACAAAGATTTGATTTCACGATTTTGGAAATCATTGTTAACATGTTAGGGAGGGAGGGAGAAGAAAAAGGAAAACTTTGTTTTCTTTCTTCCTCCTGGGCTGAGGTGGAGTTAAAATAGGAAGATTTTTCATCATCATCATCATCCCCTAGTGAGGCACTATCTTGACATGGCTGTGGGGCTTTTTGTGCTCTGAGAAAGATGAAAGCTATGCCACAGGTTCAACCACAGAGGTCTCATCAGAGGAATCAGACAAAAAGTGTCTCTCCCATTAAAAATAAGTTGTTGCCTGGCTTAACAAGGACACACTAGATACCAATAGCACTTAAACTTATATAGTGCTTTACATAGAGTGCTTTTAACTTATATAGTGCTTTACAGCCCCTCTCTAAGTGGTTTACAGAGTCAGCCTATTGCCCTCAACAATCTGGGTCTTCATTTTACCAAACCTGGAAGGATGGAAGACTGAGTCAGCCTTGAGCCTGGTGCATTCTAACCATTGTTCCACCACAGCTAGATGTTGGAGTTCTTGAACATCTGATGAAAAATGAGCTACAGGACTAAAGGCTGTTGGCTGAGCAACCAGGGCCAGCAGCTGAGGAACTTTTGAAATAAATGGTGCTTACCTATCACAAATATACAGTGATTGAAAACAAAGAAATAATGATCTGTTATTACAGATCAAGTTCAACAAGATGATATTTGAAACGAATGCATAGAAAGAACAACATCCAGAATCAGAAATAATAGAACAGAGGCTAGCAGATCAACATTGATTTATGATACAAAATAAAGTATTCACAAAAGCAGAATTGGAAGAACTCCAAAGGTCTACCAAGGCAAATAAATCAAAGTTTTCCCAGAAGTAACTCAGACTATAAAGGCAGATCAGGGGGCAGTAGAGAAATCCAGCAGAGCTATAGAATTATTTCCATTTCAAAACCCTTTCTCTGCCTCAGAAAGAATAAGGCTCTCTGACTAAAGAAATAGAAGAATTGAATGAAAGAATAATTGAGCATCTAGAACAGCACAAAATCATCAGAATAAGGCTGCCTGCATTGAAGCTTGTTCCAAAGACACAGCTAGCATGAGGATTAAAAGATTTTTTCCCCAGAAGGAAGAAAAGAAGAAGAAAGAAATCAAGTAATGTACAGCACAGCTGCAGTTGTAACTAAATAGTTGGGATGCAAAATCAACAAAGAAGAAATTACAAATAATAAGCATAATTAACATAAAACTAAAAGTCAAATAACGGGCCACCAAAATAGAAGATCAAACTGGAAAATAAATTTATTTATTTTATTTTAATTTATTTATAAGTATAAGGTATAAGTATAAACATAGTTATGAATACATGAAATGGATACATATAAGAAAAAAACCAATAGGACAGGGACAGTAGACACGTTGGTGCGCTTATGCAGGGCCCCTATAGTTCTAGGTTTTCTAGGTCTAGAATTTCAAGTCTGGTGACATAAGGTATTCTGCAATGAGTAGAGGAGTGGAGAACTCTTCTTGTGAAATATTTCTGGACTTTCTCAACTGTATAAATATCAGATATGTAATGCGGGTTCCAGACTGATGAGCTGTATTCAAGTATTGGTCTACTAAATGCTTTGTATGCTCTAGTTAGTAGTGTTATATTACCAGAGAAAAAGCTATGTAGGATTAGGTTAACAACTCTCAATGCCTTTTTGGCTATGTAGTTACAGTGGGCTGTAGCACTTAGATTAGAGTTGAGTATTCCAAGGTCCTTGACAGAGTTTGGATCATCAACAAGGTCTTGACTATTCAGTGTGTATTTTATTTTCTGATTTTTTTTTGCCAATATGTAAGACAGAGCTTTTATTTGTTGAGATTTGAAGTTGCCATTTGTTTGACCATTCTGATACATAGTCGAGGTCTTTTTGAAGGGATCAGATGCAAGCAAACTAGAACAGATGAAAGAAAAAAAAGCTGAAGAACAAGGAAATTAAAGCATACCTAATCAAGAAATACCACTTAGAAAGAAGGAAGAAATAACAAAGCAGCAAACAACAGCTATAGCCAAGAATATCAGCACATATGAAGCTCTAATTGCAAATTATAGGCAGAAGCTCCAATTTCAATGCAATCAGAAGCATTTCTACCAATCCAGAAATGGGGAGATTGCAGGGAATCAGCCAGTACCCGACAAGGAAAAAACAGTGCAATTCTGGATGCAGATATGAGATAACCCAAAGAAATACAACAAGGATGCAGCTTGGTTAAAAGAGGTGGATAAGAATAAAAAAGAAGCTGAAATGAAAGAACTAGTAATAACAACAGAAATGTTAGAGAAAAGAGCAAGGAAGATGAAGAATTGGTTAGCACCAGGTGAAAATGAACTGCATGGTTTTTGGTTGAAATTTTTGACTGGTCTACACCCAGTGGTGTGATTCAAATGGTTTAACAACCAGTTCACTGAGGGTCAGGGTCAGAGGTGGTATTCAGCAGGTTCTGACCAGTTCTGGAGAACCAG